GTTTCATTCAGATACATTATATTCTTCTATAGAATTTATATAACAGTTGTGTAAAGGAAGTTTTATGTATCAAAATATTTTGTTTTATCTGAGACTCTTTTTTTACTTTCAATTTTGTTTCTGTTTGAATCAAATTACACATGATTGATTCCATCCCATTTTTTCTTGCTCATTTTACAACAATTTTGTTATATAGGATTTTTACAACATCTAGAAATGTAAAATATTATTTCCTATATTTAATATTTGTTTAGTTCTCTTCCTCTGTAATTCAATTGGAAATTTTTATACATCCATAGTCAAAACAGATACATTGAAGATGAAAACTCAGAAGCAGGGATATGTTGTGTGTTCATTATTTTTGAAAGTGCTTGAAAGAGTTTAGGAAGTGAGTCATCCCTGTCCCTTTGGAATGTCTAAGATCTTCTGAACAAGGAGAAGCATATAATGTGACCCTGGCATGTCACCTTCTTGACTCTGCAGAACAGCAGTAACCAAAGGTTTATTTGCCAACAAAACACATACATGGTTTCACAGTAGACAGCTACATAATTGTGACAATACTTCACTGCTTCAGTTATCAGTCTAAAGGTACCACTGGACATCACAAAAGTACTCTCTGAGCAGTGACAGCTGCCCTCTAGTTGCTGGGTTTGTCTATTGTGACTAGGACCTGTGAGTTGGCCAAAGAAAGGCACAAGAATAAAATAAACAAGTTATGTTTTATCCTATCCATGCATGATTGAGCAAGTGCCTAAAATAAAGAGAATAGATTTGAAGGATTCGATGATGGGTATAGAAAAGGTGAATTGAATAGATGCTGTGGAAAAAAGAAAACTTCAAGAGAATCATACTTTGCTGTGGAATCTGTAATGCATAGAGGTCAGATATCAGCAGTAATAGCAATATTGTTAGCAATACAATGAATGCTAGGACAAGACCATGTATCAGGAACAGCTTGTAAAAGAAAAAATATTTCAAAGGCTACTCAGAAAGCAACGCAAAGCTATGTGGTAGACCAAGGATTTGGATAACTTGAGAAAAGCTGAGTGATAAAACATCCCACGAGGATGGAAAATGTTGCTAACAAATAGACTGGATAATCAAACCCTTGCTTTTCTACAGAAGTTACTAACCTTATTTCAGACAAACTCTGTCATGGAATGATGTCCAGCTTACATAGTCCATGGTGCTCTTCCTGACTCTGGGGATGGAATGAAGTGGTTGTGACAGATGATATGCTTTTATTTCTAAGGAACTTGTTACATACATTTATCAGCAATCTATTTTTCCTCCTGAACAATCTCTTTGTTTCCAGAGAGCTTTCTTTATATGTACTATATAAAATTCTAAATTTATTTTGTTAAAAACTTCCATAGACCAAGACATATATCAAGATTCTAATGGAAATTTCACTAGTGTGTGATTTTGGAATTGTCTTTATCTTCTCTTGGATTCATTTATTTTAATTTATGAAATGTGGAAGTACAGTATGTACTGCAGAAGATTACACAAGAGAAATCCATGCATAGAGTTTTATATATGCATGAAACCTAGGTATGAACTCAGTAAGACCTTACGTTACGGTTGTACAATTTATCACAATACTTATCATCACAAGCATTTGACTAGAAAGACCAAATGCAACATGTAAGCATGTGTTTCTTGTTTGATTTCATTTAAGAACTGGTGAGTATGGGTTTGGGAAGTGAAAAGCATGAGCGAATCTGCTTGGACTGCAGGGACATACTCACCTTTAACAGAAAGTGTGATGTTTAGTTAAGGGTGACACTTGGTGATTTATGATCACTATTATCAAGAAATGATACTCAATTAGTCCAAGACAGAGAATCTGGACAAAGGAAAAATAAAATTAAACAAAAAAGAAACAAAGAGAGAAAAAAAGGTTAAAGGGGAGAGAGAAGAGAGAGAGATACGAAGTTTCAGGTTACCAGAAGAATTTGACAAAGAACAATGGATTATCAGTTCATTTTATGCTTTAAAAATAATGACAACCACGATATTGATTTTTAAAAAAAAATACATGATGTAAAGAAAAACAGAGTGCTCTAGTGCTCCTGGCACTCCCTCTCTCTGCTTCCAGACAACTGGTAACATAGAGTTATCCTGTCTGTGCAAGGAACTATGTATTTCACCACAGAAAATACCTTTGATTGAAGGGTATAATGTTATCTATCATCCACTAAAGAAACAGAGAATGAGATTCCAATGTCTGGTTCCAGAATAATCCTTTCCAAGCCCCCAACACTGGAGAAGAACATCATCAAACACAATGTTCAGGCCTATAATAAAGGACTGTTGTCCATGTCAACCCTGACACTGAAGGTGTGGAGTAGAGAGGGGTGAGACTCATTTGAAATATTTAAGTACTCTATCACCTGGAAGATAGACAGCTTGAATTCACCTTGCCAGCATGGTCTACAGTCTTGGTAGAGAATTTAAATCGAAACAGCATCACCCTGATACTGTTGTTAGGTTACCAGCAGGGACACACAGAAACATTGCTGGGAAGAAGGAGAAATGATAGCTCAATCCAGGACAGAAGTGATATGCATCAAATGTGAGGGGCATCCTGATTTGTACAATTTTTGCAGTTGTGAACAATATGTCTGAGAAAATCAAACAGCTTGTGTGAGCTTCTGCTTGGTCAAATAGAGTAGTCTTCATATATGATTAGTCCTACAAAGCATTTGTGGAAGTTTTTCAATTGGTTGGACTTGATTTTGGGAAATTCCTTTGTTCCTAGCTGAACTCCAATTTTGGTCACCTTGTAGATCCATCTCCTCCTAGTAAAACTTTGCATTTTACAAGGACAATTGTCTCTGAATTTGCAGTAATTTTCTTCAGATCTACTTTTTCATAGATTAATGTATTCAGGAAATTTATTACGTTCTGCTACACGCCTAGCATTGAGGAGTCAGACCTTCATGAGGCAAGTTATGTCTGCTTGGAGTTTGGAGGTTTTCCTGAAGGATGTCATACTTCAGTAAATGTCAATTTTACACCAGAAATATATTAAGAATGAAGATTTTCATGTACTTCTTTTAGAGAGTGAAGTGGAAGGGTTGGGCAGAGGAAGGGGCTGAGGAGGGCCAGCTAACACCAAAAATGTCATATGGAAACTTACTTTTTAAATTACATATGGGCATATATGTATATTATAAAATATATGTGGGTTCATATAAAAGACTTTAATAGGGGTTACCCTGTACAGGGGATAATGTTCCTCCAAGAAGTCACAGATTACCAAGTAAAAATTTCAGTTCTAGGTGTGGGACACCTTCTCTCAATTTGTCACTTGTGTCCTGGAAAGTCCCAAAATAATTGAGGCTATTTCCATCATTCTTGGTTGTCCACCAGAACTTGATGATAAGGCCATATTGCTGACATTACATATTTGGTCAAAAGGATATGGAAAAATCAAGTTGGTAATAACTCAAGGGATTTCCTATTGCTAGTTGGCTTTCACAGTACTAGAAAAGGCGGCTGTGGCAAAATACCATCAGCAGTCTAACCCTGCATGTAACTCTATGAGCTTCAGGAATAACCAGTGTGGCAAGATATGCTCGTGGGTACAAAAATGGTGCAAATATTATGGGAGTAGCTAACTGCTTCCTGATTGGATTTAAGGCCCATAACACAGGAAAAGAGAGGTATGCTTAGCACTCTAAATCTGACCAACAATTTATGATCAGGGAGTTTACATATCCCAGTGATAAACCTACCACTATTATTCTGCCAAATGGAGATAGTATCAAACAGTTCTCTGATTTGCATATCTCTACTCAGATTGGTGTAGCTTTCAGGCCTTGTCAGTGAAGTGTCTCTGTGCAATAGGCAGTGGTTAATTAAGAAACTCACAACTGATTCTAGTGAAGAAAATATGTATCAGTCGAGTAATTAGCCACAAACACAACATCTGTACCACCACCGATGGTGGTATTGTGTTCCCCAAAATATTGTGCACCCTAATAGACTTATATGGGGTCAGAGACAGAACAGCCACTAGATACAAAACCTAGAAAATGGTGGCACTCACACCTTTAATCCTAGCATTCCAGAGGGAGAAATCCCTCTGGATCTCTGTGAGTTCAAGGCCACATTGGAAACAGCCAGGCTTGGTGACTCATGCCTTTAATCCCAAGAAGTGAGCCTTTAACCCCAGGGAGTGATGGCAGATAGCAGAAAGGTATATAAGGCATGGAGACCAGAAACTAGCAGCATTTGGCTGGTTAAGCATTTGGCTGGTTAAGCTTTCAGGCTTTGGAGCAGCAGTTCAGCTGAGACCATTGGGATGAGGAAAATAGGATCAACTGAGAAACTAGCAAGGTGAGGAAGCTGTGGCCTGTTCTATCTCTCTGATCTTCCAGCGTTCACCCTAATACCTGGCTCAGGTTTGATTTTATTAATAAGAACTTTTAAGACTCGTGCTACAACCCCCATACGCACAAGGCTCAGGAGCCATCATGGGAGATTGAGTAGAAAGATTGTAAAAAGCCAGAGGTTGGGAGGACCTGAGCAAAACAGTATCTTCTGCTGGATGTGATCTGAAAACTAGTTATGAAATCACAGTAGCTGTGGTGGCCTGCACAAGATCAAGACTGTTAACACTGTGAAAGGGAAGAAAGGTTCATAATCCCATCCTTAAGTGAGGAGCTATTGACAGGTGATGGCTTCTGGGAAATTATGAGTCAGTTCCTGAGAGCAAGTAAGGATGTGGATTTGGATGGGTCGGAAGGTGGGGGGGATCTGGGAAGAGTTGAAGGAGAAGAAACCATAATCAGAATACACTGTATTAAAAAAATTATTCACACCACTCCAAAGAGTGACCCCACACTCATGCGTTTATGAGCAGCACACATTAGACTCAGGGGGTTGTGTAAGAAAGAAAAGGACCTGAAGTTGGGAGATGGGTTGGTGGGAGTAGCTCTGAAATGAGGAATAAGAGACATGAATGACTGGGGTTGGGGGGGGTGAATATAATCCAAATGTATCATATGAAATTCTCAAAATGCTGATGAAATTATTACATTAAAAAAACGAATGACCAATCTCATGCAGTTCTTTTGAAAGCTTTTACTCAGGAAGGTGGAACTCGGTCCTTGGTATTGCTTTGTCGCTGTATTAGTAACATGGTACACAACCATCTGGGAACTCCAGGCCAAGGACTCATCAGATAGTTCAGGAGGTAAGGTGGTGGCCATGTAAGTATGAGAATATGAGTTTTATCCCTTGTAGCCACATCAAAAGCACGGCATTGTGGATACCATCTGATATCCCAGTGCTGGCGAGGCAGAAACAGGAGGATTCCTGAGAATACCTGGTTACTTGGCCTAGCTGAATTAGCAAACCCAAGGCCAACCAATGAAGGCTCTCTCAAAAGAACAAGGAGGATGTTTGCTAAAGAAAGACAGCCAAGGTTGAACTCTGACCTCCACATATGAACACTTGCATGTACACACACATGCAGACACACACACATACAACAATCATATTGAACTAGTTCTACAAAGAGACTTCCAGGGTACACCACTGCTGTTCATGCTCGAATCTCATCTCGAAATTTCTATGTTCACTCTACTTTATAGCTCCAAAAACTGGTACTCATAGTACTAGATCCTGGGGGGAAAGTAAAACTTAAACTATTCCACAATAATTCATTAAGTCAGCTTTGACCCAAACCAACAGAATCCAATTATTTTAGAATGACCAAAATTTGATTGAGGTAATGATTTCAAGCTTGTAATTCCTACTGTACTGTTTGCTCCCCTAGGATCTGAGTAAACAGTGCACATCTTCCACTGCAGAGAGTGAGTCCTCCTGACAGATGATTGTTCACTAGGGGTTTATAGAAGGTGCTAAATACTACATGCTTGTTGAAGTAAATGGGTGAGAATATTCAGTTCATTTGAACTATGAAATAAAAATAATAGGATAAAATGAGGTATGTCTGTTAGGAAAAATTCCCAGTTATAAGTGATGAACTGTGTTTTTATTCTATGTGCATATATGCCTGATTAGTAGGGTGTAGAAAAAAATTAGAGGTCCCATTTTATAGTCACTTTGGAAGTCAGAGCCTTTCTATTCTGTGGGTCACCAGCGAGTTGGTGATCAACACACTGCTAACTATTTGGCTAGATCATGGCAGTAGGAGGGCGAAGAGCAAGCAGAGTGCCCAGTCTAGTTGAAACCTCATCACAACCTAGGCTTCAGTGGTTACAGCTGCCAAATGCTGACTTTGACTTATGCAGAATCTGAATGCTCAGATTGGGTGTAAAAATCTGTCAGATTAGCATTGCTACACATAAAATGAATGCAAGGTGGAGTTATCATTAACAATACTGCCATTCCAAAGAACAAGGTGTTGAAGCTGATAACTTTCAATGATAGAGATTCAAAATGCAACTGGGACCAAGTTCCAGGAGATAGCAGTGTGGTTATTATGTATGCACTGTGCCCATCATTCACTCAGCAGCTGTGGCTGGCAAATGAGCAAAGATAGACTCACTATGTTCAGTCAGGATTGTCATGTAATAGGTTACAAAAAGGCACAAACCACCCATGCTTTGGGTGCCATCATTCACAGTAGTCCCTATACTGCTGGAGGTTATTCACTATGCCACAGCCAGAGTCTTCACTCTAAAAAGAGAAGAATGGAGAGCTGGTTGCAGACTGTGTGGCTGGGATCTGCGGACTTCGTTTCCTAAGTCTTCCACTTTTGTCCGCCAGCCTGATATCGGGTGAGCAGGTCACCAAGATGCCCAGTGTCTTTAATATCTATCACCTGTCTCAAAGCACTTAACATTGGTATCCTTATGTTCTATGAGAGGTAAAGGCTTTTTTTCCCAACATTTCAAAATCCGAAATCACATTTTTAAAAGAGGAAAGAAAAAAATCATTTTCCTTCCCATTAATTAGACTATAAATTCAAAATTTTTAAATTGACCCACACTTTGCTATTTGCTTCAATTCTCCAAGTAATGACTACTTTTATCATCATAATCAATTCTAGTTAATAATTCCCTTCTGAAATCAATAAAGAGACAGGAAATCTGGGTGTTATGCAAACTTTACCCACAGGGGCACTGCTGACTGAGAGAAGAAAAGCACACAACTTCATGCCGGCCTTTATGGGGGCTTCCTGATAGTATGCCGGCCTTTATGGGGGCTTCCTGATAGTATGCCGGCCTTTATGGGGG